GCGTGGTAACGCAGCCACACAACAGAATTCGACTGCAGGGTCCCTGGTTCGAATCAAGGTCTAGGGAGTGTTCTTGATGTTCCAGCGCAATGCTGCGAAGCCCTAGTGCACAGGAGGGCAGAAGAAAGCCCCCAACAATTGCAGCAATTTTCGGAGGTCGTCACAAGTAGATGGCTAAATGCAGTTCTATCCAAACCCAAAGGCGAGTAGAGTTGGCTCCGGGTATGCTAACCCTGTACAAGAATGGTGTTCCCTTTGTGCCTAGCTTGGAGTGGGACTGTACCTATACCACGCCAGGGAGGATCGAAATATGACACTCATCGAAATTGGAAATTGGCCTACAGCCTAAGGGCAAAGATATAAAACAATTCTTGCGCCGCTAGGCATCATTGTTCCCGCTTCTTCCTTCCAGTGCCACAGGTCAGCATTTTTTCTCGACAGCACGCATCAAAAGTGTAAGGTCCATCCCAGCATGCAGCATTGCCACCAGGACCAAACCTGAGCCAGGACTGAATCAAGCCAGCGCGAAAGCGAACGTAGCAAAACAGGCTAAATGAAATAACAACCTTTGATTTGGTGAGCAGATTGACTCACGCACGCACGGCAATCGTCGCAGCGAGTGCCCGGCCCTCCCCATGCGGTCGCCTGTTTGCCATGCTCATCCGTGCTCTGTTCGTGCTGCTGTCTGTCATGAGGTGTCTCCATGTCTGCACACATCCCTTTTCCAATTCCTCTTCCAGATTCATGAACCTCGTTTCATTTGAGGAATTGTTCCGCCATCATGAGGTGTCGCCATATCTGCGCATATCCCATTTCTGACTCATCTTCCGGATCCACCCTTGGCCAGGCGCTCCAATCCCAACGCGCCTTATGCCAGAGTGGGGTTGCCACCTTTCCAAAAAGTGCCTGTTTGGCTTTGCCCTGGCTACGGCCAAGTGCCTGTGTCACTCTTCCCTGTATCCTGGTAAGTGCTCTTGCGAGCTTGCCCGGGCCTTTGCTCTACTTGGTTGCTCGCGTGCGACTTCTTCAAAGTACAACCGCATTCTATCTTAAAGCCTGCAAGCTTACGAGGATGTAGAACTTGCTTCACATGTGCCTGCTGGATGATTGCTTCATGTCGTCTGCTGAATTGCATGTTTTGCTCGTTTGCCTGGGCACCTTCGGGCAAGCGGCGCAAGACGTTTACATACAAAAGAACAGGTCTGGCCACTGTGACTTCTTTGCTTTGCTTTGCTGCGCGGGGAAGACAGGGCAAGCCCCAGACCTTAAGATCATTCCGGCGGTGTTCTCTCTTCAGGTCAGTTTCGTGAAGCTTCTGGCTGTATCCGCCGAGGCCGGGAAGCCTGAGGCGTTAAGAACCGGGTTCGGAGGCTAGGAGAGCAAGTTAGCCATCGCTCTACCCCCTCCTAGCAGCTAGCAGCCTCGATTCGGCTTGTCGGCCGGCTTCTGCGCGGGCTGGTGCGGGTCTCGGCCATAGGACCACTCGAATCCGAGCAAAAAACCCGGTTTTGCTACAACTCACAAAATGACAAAGAAGAGGATGTATGCAGCAAGTCCCCTTTCTCCCGCGCTCCCCAGAAAGGCCAAGAGCTATGTTTTTGCTGTACCATCAGAGCACAATGCCCAACCAAATGTATTTGTTATGGTGACTGCTATCTCTCTCTGTCCTTCTCCTTCAGGTATATGCCCCCTTCAATAAACACCGAGGCAACGAGCTACGACCTCGAACGCAGGGGTCCATGCATGCGCGCTCAGTCCGACCATTTCTTCGCTCTTTGCTTTTTGGGGTAGACAAACGAGCCAAGCCATTTAGGTCCCCTCCACACGTCCCCGGTGTCGAACAAAAAGAACGCAAACATCTAAGTTGATGTTATCCTCATGACCCAGTAAGCATATGGGAGTGAATCGAAACCCTGTGCCCAATGGCCCTTGCGGACAAGCCTCTGTTACATACCCTTGAAACGCGGAGCTTGTTACATACCCCTTGTCGCGCATTGTCGCACGGCTATAACAGACTTAAAATACTCATGGTATTGGAGGGCTTGTCGCGCCAGGCGCG